GGTTGTAGTCTTCAGCTACTTGGAAGTCTGAGGCAAGAGATTGCTTGAGCCTACAAATTTGAGGTTGCTCTGACCTGTGACACCATGGCACTCTATCCAGGGTGACAGAGTGAGACTCTGTCTCCATAAACGAAAAAAGGCATCTTTTATTTTTTCTAGTTTTTAAATAGGATAATAAATTTTTTAGCAAAAAAAGGTAATATACCTTTATGTCTACAGCATATTGATGTTAAAGACCAAACATATAATAATACAAAAGACAGGAGGTAGGAATGGAAATATACTGTATTAAGGTTCTTACACTATACATAAAGCGTTAAGATACTATTAGAAGGCATACCATGACAAGTTAGAAATAAGAATTATAAGTCTTACAGCTAATGTTTCAAATAATGAAGTTAAAAACACAGTAATTTTTAAAAGTTACTCCACAAGAAGGAAGAAACCAAAGGGTCTATGGGAAGTGTAGAAAACAATAAGATAGTTTATACTTCTGACCGTAGGGATAATAATAATGAAGGATTATAATAAAAGTTTTTCAAACTCTGTTTAAGCAGCAGAGATTGTCAAATTGGCTAATAACAAGTACAAGTAAATGTTGTCTACATGAAACCCACTTCAACTATAAAGACATACGCAAATAGTAAAATACTGGGAGAAGACACACATATCACATACCTTGCAAAGAGTAATCACAAGAAAACCAGTCCTTATAGTAATATCATTAAAATTAGCAGAGTAAATTATTCAGAAGTCTGTAATGGTAAGTTAGTTAATCAAGAGGACATAATATTCCTATATACATACCAAATTAAATAAAGTACATAAAGGAAAAGCTACTAGAACTAAAAGGAGAAATAGACAAACACGATTATGCTTGGAGATTTCAATAATGGACAGAAGATAAGAAAATCTTCTAGATAGAAAATCATTAAGAATATTAATGACTGGGAAGGTAAATAGAAAGAATATTATTAAAGATTTAGATCAGAATATTATTTTAGCCAACATGACCTATTTTTTTTGGTACTTAGAGAATACTGGAAAATTGTAAAATACATGTTATTTTCAAGTTCCTGGAAAATTTTAAAATAGAACCAATTCTGAGCCTTTTGAGTTTCAGTGATTTCAAAAGATTGAAATACAGTTTGAATGTGTGATTTCATACATATGAAATAAATGTATTTGGCTGAGCACAACTAAAATTAAACTAGAACCAAAATAAATGAAATAAGGAGATGTGTCTTTGAAAACATCAATAAATTTTAATAAATCTCTAGCCAGAGTGATCAAGAAGAAAACACAAATTACTGATTAAAATAATAAAAGAATGTAACACTACTGATTCTAAATACATTTAAAAGACAAGAAGTCGAGTGCAGTGATAAACCTGGTTGTCTCAGCTCTGTACCTCTGTGGGAAGATTGCTTGAAGCTGAGATTGTGCCACTGGCCTGGGCAGCAGTATGACCCTCATCACAAATACCCACCCCCCAAAAAAGACAGTAAAGAATTTGATGAACTGTTTGATTGTAATATACTTGACTAAGTAAATGAACAAATTTCTTGAAGGCACCAAAATACCAAAAGGTTTACTCAAGAAGACATGAGTTTAGAAATATCCTCCAAAGAAGTCTGATCTTATTACCTGGAGCCTATAAATATTACCTCATTTAGAAAAAGTTCCTTTTCAGGTATAATTGCAGTAAAGATTTTTTTTAGGCAGTCTTATTTTGTCACCCTCAGTAGAATGCCTTGGTGTTATAGCTCACAGCAACCTCACATTCTTGGGCTCAGGCAATTCTCTTCCCTTAGCCTTTCGAGTAGCTGAGATTACTGGCACTTGCCACAGCACTGGGCCATGTTTTTTTTTTGTTTTTGTTTTTTTTTTAAAAACAAAGTCTCATCAGCTTCGATAGAGTGCTGTGACATCACAGCTTGTAGCAGTCTCAAACTCTTGGGCTCAAGTGATCTTCATGTAGAGATAGTTTCTCACTCTAACTCAGGTTGGCCTTGAGCCTGTGAGCTGAGTCAATCCACCCTCCTCGGCCTCCCAGAGTGCCGAGTGCTGGAATTACAGGCATGAGCCACTGCGCCTGACCTGACATCCACTCATTTTTAAGATGGGGTCTGGCTCTTGCTCAGGCTGGTCTCCAACTACTGACCTCAGACAGTTTACCTGCCTTTGCCTCCCAGACTGCTAGGATTACAAGCATGATCCACTGCGCCCAAGTATATAAAAGATCTTTAAGATGAGGGGATGATTCTGGTTTTTTTTTAATTGTGACAGAGTATCATTTTCTCACCCTCAGTAGAGTGCCATGGCATTATAGCTCAGCAACCTCAAACTTTTGGGCTCAACCATTTCTCTTGGCTCAGCCTCCCAAGTAGCTGGGACTATAGGTGCTGTCATAATATCTGGCTGTTTTTAGAGACATGGTTCTCTCTCTGACTCAGACTGGTCTAGAACCCATGAGCTCAGGCAATCTGCCCATCTTGGCCTCCCAAGTGGTGGGATTATAGACACAAGCCACCAAGCCCAGCCGATGATTCTGTATTATGTGGGTTTGCCGTGAGTGTCACGTGTCCTTAGAGAGGAACAGAGAGACTTGACAAAAGAAAAGGCAGTGTGACTTGCAAAGCAGAGATTGGAATGAGATGGCTGCAAGCAAAGCAATTCCATGGCAGACACAAGGTTAGAAGAGCTGGGGAATGGATTCGTCCCTACCTAGATCATCCACTAGGAGCATGGCTTTGCTGACACCTTGAGTTTTGTCCGAGTAATAATGAATTTTGATTTCTTGCCTCTAGAAGTGTGAGAGAACTCTATGATCAGATATTTCCACAGATGAATCTGCACAAAATATTTAAGGAGGAAATAATACCTATCTACATAAAGTTTTCCCAGTAAATGAAAGTGAACAGAATGCTATTATAACTAAGTATATAGACACCCACTTACCCATATATACCAAATATACCTGGGTATGTAAACAAGGTAAATGACTAAAAACCTATGAATGTACAAAAGAATGTATAAGAATGTCTGTAGCAATTTTATCCAAAATAGCCAAAAAAGTATAAATTGCTTCAAATGTCTGTCAGTAATATAAATGATTTTTTATTCAGGGTAATACTAATTAGATTGAACTGAAAAAGAAATGACCTACTTCTTTATACAGAAATGTTGTTGAATCTCATAAGGTGATATTGAAAAATTATCCAACCTCCACTACTGTATACTGTATTATTTTCTTAACATAGAATTTATGTGCAAGAAAAGCAAATCAATGGTTATATAATTCAGAACAGTGTATATTTTTGTAGGTGACTATCAACTTTAGGTCAAGAACCTGTCAGAGTGTTTAATATGTTGTACAGCTTGTCTTGAAATCTTGGAAGTAGTACTGTTTTAATTATACCAAATGTTTGTATTACGTTATAATGATAAAACTGATTCTTGGTATGAATTAAAATACTGTGCCTTTGTAAATTGCAAAAGGTGTTTTTAAATATCAAGGTAATAGAAATAACTTACTTTCAGTTTAAACCAACCTTTTTTAGTTCCAAGGACTTGGAAGACAGTTTTTCTACAGATTGTGGTTGGGGAATGATAAGCATCTGCAAATGATTTATTATGGTTTGTGTGCAAACTTCTCTGCTAATGATCTATTTTTGCAGCCACTTTCCAACACTAGTATCACCCTCTCAACTCCCACCTCAGGTCATCAGGCATTAGATTCTCTTAAGGAGTGCACAGTCTAGATCCTTCTCATGTGTAGTGTATGGTAGAATTCATGCTGCTTTGAGAATCTAATGCCCCAGCTGATCTGACAGGATGCAGAGCTCATCTGGGGGTGATGGGGAACAGCTATAAATGCAGATGGAGCTTTGCTTGCTCTATGCTGCTCATCTCCCTTTTTTACTGCCTGATTATTAATAGGCCATGGACCAGTACCAGTCTGTTGCCCAGGGTTCCGGGAATACATATATTCTTTTTTCTTTTAGAGTCGGAGTCTCACTCTGTTGCTCTTGGTAGAATGCTGTGGCATCATAGCTCACAGCAACCTCTAGCTCTTGGGCTTAGGCGATTCTCTTGCCTCAGCCTCCCAAGTATTGGGGACTACAGGTGCCTGCTACAACACCCGGCTATTTTTTGTTTGCAGTGGGGCTGGGGCTGGGTTTGAACCCGCCACCCTTGGTATGTGGGACCAGTGCCGTCTCAGGACTACAGGTTCTAATAGTTCACGTGTTCTTGATTGACAGCAAGAAATCTTTGAAATAAGCTATCCTTTCTGTTTGAAGTTTAGATTTCTTTAGTGTTTATTCCTTTCATCCAAAAATTTGCCTTGGTGGTTTGCCTAAAAAGTCTCTACTCTGAGTTTAAAAAGTAATCCTGTAGTGCTACATATTCAGTCTTTATAAATTAGCAATTAATTTCTGATTTTGTTTTTTTAGAGTAAAGGTGCTAGTGCTGGAAGAGAATGGACTGAACAGGAGACCCTTCTACTCCTCGAGGTAAGCAGATTAATGGTAGAGTCTCATTATCCATATATGAGATATGTGCTAAGATTCTGTGATTAGCATTTTATTTTATTTTTATTCTTTTTTTTTTTTGAGATAGGCAAAAAACCCAAAAGAAGAAACCTTTTTGAGGAAGAAGACTTTTTCACAAAGTCTGACTTTATCACCCTCAGTATAGTGCGATGACATCATAGCTCATGGCAACTTCCAACTCTTAGGTTCAAGCCATTCTCTTGCCTCTTCCCTAGTAGCTGGGACTACAGGCCCCTGTTAGAACACCTGACTATTTTTAGAGGCGAGGTCTTGCTCTGGCTCAGTCTAGTCTTAAACCTGTAAGCTCAGGCAATCCATCTGCATCAGCTTCCCAAGTGCTGGGATTATAGGCGTGAGCCACTGTGCCTAGCCTTGTGATTAGCATTTTAAATATACCTGTGGTGTTCAATTAAAAAAATGTGTCTAGTTGATCTTAAAAACCAAAAGATTACACAAGTGCTTTTCCTTTAGACAGCCATTGTGACTTAATAGTTGATATTTAAGTCCTATTTGTGTCTCCCATTTCAAAGTACAAGATATTAAAAACACGTATATTAGGCATTAGATTTTATTAATGTTAATAATTTTTACAACTTCATCAGAGATACTTTTCAGTAAATCTGGCTTATTTTGTTGTGCTTGACAGTGAAGGATAAAGTGACTACTAAGACAGTTTAGTGTCACTGCCTGGATTTGTGCTAAGGTGTCACCAGTGCTTTTGCAGCATTGCAAATGTCAACATAATGGAAAAGGCAGTAATGCTTCAGAATTAAAATTGTGGGACATCAGTCTTCTTAAAAGAGTCTGGTGCCCCAGACTCTGGTACCCCTTAACAGACTCTGGTCCTCAGAACACACTTAGATAACAGTGGGCCTGGCAACATTTTGGTTTCTGTGCTTTAATTTGGTTTCTCATGTTTATTTTGGATAATTAGACAATTAAAGAAGTTTTTGAGGTTCATTACATTATTTCCTTTTTTTATACTCTTTCCTTTCTTTGGTTTTTTTGTTTGTTAGTTTTTTCAGACAGTACCATTTTTCCACTCTTTGTGCTGTGGCATCATACCTCACAGCAATCTCAAATTCTTGGGCTCAAGCTATCCTCTTGCCTCAGCCTCCCAAGTAGCTGGGACTACAGGCGCCTACCATAACACCTGGTTATTCTTTTTGTTTTAGTTTTTGTTTTTTCGAGACAGAGTCTCACTTTGTCACCTGTGGTAGAGTGCCGTGGCATCATAGCTCATAATAACCTCAGACTCTTGGGATCAAGTGATTCTCTTGCTTCAGTTGAGACTATAGGCACCCACCACAATGCCCAGCTATTTATTTATTATTTTATTATTATTATTATTATTATTTTGAGATAGTCCCAGGCTATTGCCCTGGGTAGAGTGTGTGGCGCCACAGTTCACAGCAACCTCAAACTCTTGGGCTTAAGCAATTCTCTTGCCTCAGCCTCCCAAGTAGCTGGGACTACAGGC